TCCTGCTGAGGGCTTTAAAGGTGAGGCTCTGTACAGAGCATACCACGGGGGCAAATTTCTGTAGCAAGGCTTTGGGGGTTCCTTTCAAAAGTGTGTGAGGAGGAAGGAGAAGAAAATCAGCTTTACAAAGGCTTGCTACCAGCCATTAAATTTGGACCAGTATTATAGGCCGTCCCTTTGTGATAGAGCAGATTAATGGTAAATCGCCTTCACTTCTCACTGCCACCTTGCGAGCAGAGTGATAAGTAACAGGAAGAGTTATTCTGGGGGATATTTGAGGAAAACTGTGAGAAAAAAGGTGACGTGGAAGGACAAGAGGTTTCCCAAAGAGCCCTTGGTGTCGTTGGCAGCAGGGCAGAAAGGAGAAAAAGTGGTAAATTCCTCAGTGGATCATACCGTGCAAATGCAGTAGAAGGCAAAAAGACACAGCCATACAAAATGTTGAGTACAACATTTTATAGAGAAGTATAACATAGAACAGCACAAGAAAACCAGCATGCAAGTTTCTATTGTGTTATCACCATAACCCTGAAAGGCCTTGCAAGAGTCGCTTCAGATTTTGGGATGTGTTTGGTACTGGAGAACAGCTCCTCAGCCCCAAGCCTTGAGGCTGGAATTGGCGTTATTTTTGCCATGGCTAGCAGGAACAGTTTGGGTGTAAAGCAGTGTCATGTGTGACACTAGCAGCAGGGCAGACAGCAGTAACCTTGTTGGCCAGGTGCGCTACCAGGCCCTGCGCCCAGCAGGGCTGCGGGACCTGCGCAGGGATCGGCTCCTCATGGGCCGCCGTTCTGGCTGGCAGTTTCTTCCTCCCCTGGTATAAGCTGGGACATCCCATTCGGGGGTCCGAGCTCGCCCGCCACTGCGATCCCTCCTGCTTTGCCGCACCTGCCGTGTCGGGCACTGAGTGCTGTGGGGCCTGCTGCGGGAGCGGCTCCTTGCCGGCCGCCGTTCCCAGAAGGAAGCCCGGCTGGACGGCTGACGGTGCTCGGTCCTTCCCGAGGAGGTTGGGACATGGCGCTGAGGCCTTGGAGCCCGTCCCTTGTCCCGAGCAGCATCCTGAGCCCTGCTGCGCTGCCGTGTGCTGCTGCTCGCGGGGTCGTAGCCACGGTGGTGCCACCTCGGGGACCTGCTTCGGGCCCAGTTTGGGGCCCTGGGGTGGCCACCACCGTGGTCTATGCTGGCCAAGCTGCGTTGCTGGCGGGCAACCACAGTGTGGGGCCAAGGAATCCCTCCTGGAGCATGGCTGGCGGAGCTGTCGTATGGCACGGTGTCGTACACCTGACAGGTGGTGGCTGTCACGTGGCGGTAGGTGTGGTGTGTGTGCCACCACTGGTGGATGGGGCACACAGCTCTGAAGCGGGACCACCGCAGGATGTACAAAAAACAGAAGATGTGCCTGTACCAACTGACAGAGGCTTGGTTGGTAATGGTGTTGTAGCAGATGGGGCAGATTTGATCCTCAGTCGGGTCCTGGTAAGCGTCCAGTGGTGTGGGCTGGGGCCCCTGGCTGCTGCTGGTGGTGGCAGCAGGGGAGGAGGTGGTGTCTTGTGCCGAGTGCTCCTCCAACGCCATGTTGCCCTGCAAAGAGAAGAGAGAGAAAGCTCGTGACCTGCCCTGGAGATGCAACCTGCGGGATGCAGCAAAGCCGTGGGAGCTGGGCGCTGAAGAGTTGCCCGCTGTGCCTCAGGGCTGTGCATGGGCTGCCGCCAATGGCAGGGACCATCCCGGGCAGAGAGGTGACACCGGGGCCGTCTTTGGGTGCTGCTGCTCTGAGGACAGGGTGATGACTGACCTCCAGTGGTGTGCTCATGAAGACTGAGGTTTGCCTCATGGGCGTCTGTCATCCACAAGGCCACCATCTCTTGTTTTTTCTCCTTCAGGGGATTCATAAGCGACTGCATAGAAAACTTGACAAGCAAATCAAAAGCGTGAGGGCTGAAATGAATGAAACGCTGGAGTGAAACCAGTTAATGTCCCACAAGTAGTCTGGCTCTTGGTGAGCTTGCAAACTCTTGTTCACGTACTAGTGATGTCTGAGAAGCCCAGCTGAAGTAGTCTTTCGTGAACTTGAGCAAAGACACTACTTTTATTCCAAAACTTCCGTGTACTCTCAGTCAGAAAGAAAGCACAAGGCTGGGAAGGGGGAATAAGGAGTCACAGGGGCTGGTGGAAGTTTGGAAGGGGAGCATTTTGTCCCGAGCTTTAGTTCCCCCTGCATCTTGCCTACTGACCACGCAGACTTACAAGTGTCTTCAGCACCCCCTCAGGAGAAGCGGTTTAGTAGCGTTGAAGGCCAATAGCATCCTGGCTCGTATCAGGAATAGCATGGCTGGCAGGAGTAGGGAAGTGATCGTGCCCTTGTACTCGGCAATGGTGAGGCTGCACCTGGAGTACTGTGTTCAGTTTTGGGCCCCTCACTACAAGAAGGACACAGAGGTGCTGGAGCGCATCCAGAGAAGGGCAACGAGGCTGGTGAAGGGTCTAGAGAAGAAGGCTTATGAGAAGCGGCTGAGGGAACTGGGGTTGTTTAGTCTGGAGAAGAGGAGGCTGAGGGGAGACCTTATGGCTGTCTACAGCTGCCTGAGAGGAGGTTGTAGTGAGGCAGGTGTTAGGTGGTTCTCCCAAGTAAGCAGTGATAGGACAAGTGGCAATGGCCTCAAGTTGTGTCAGAGGAGGTTCAGATTGGGTATTAGGGAAAACTTCTTCATTGCAAGGGTTATCAAGCACTGGAGTAGGCTGCCCAGGGAAGTGGTGGTGCCGAGTTTCAGCATCCGTGAAAGGACAGGAATGACTCTCACACGCATGGATATGATGCACAGTCGAATTCTTTATTCTCCCGCTTGTGCGGTTATATACATTTACCATATCTGTACACACGATCATGCTTATATCGGATAGGCTACAGACATAAATCTTGCGCTGTTCACACGCCCCACATTCCCTTATAATTGGTAACTATGCACTAATGCCAACAGCAACAGGCCGCCTCCACGTCCTTGAACACATCTTGTTTGTGCTAACCCACACCATGTGCACTATCAGAACTTTCTCAATGGCTATTCTTAGCTGTCTTTACCAGCAGCCTGTTCAATTATGCTGTTTTGCTTAAGCGGCCTAGTCGTGCTAATTCTCAAGCTACATCGACCCCAACAGGGTGGAATCACCCTCCCTGGATGTATTTAAACGATGTGCAGACGCAGTGCTTAGGTACATGGTTTAGTGGGGGACTTGGCAGTGGTAGGTCTGTGGTGGACTCGATGATCTTAAGGGTCTTTTCCAACCTAGATGATTCTATGATTCAAGTTTAATGTATGTGTAGAAGTAGATAACGCTTTCCTGACTTGCCTTTGAGAATGGCCTCGCTTACTGGTGTTCACCTGAGAAGTTCATTCATTCATTTTATTCCAATACTTACTGCACTTGCAACACTTTTCCTTCTTTTGTTCATCTTTGTCTCTCCTCACTGCACCCCCTAGCACAAACATTTATGTCATTGCATCGGAGCTATCTTAAAAGAACTTCCTATCTACTAAACCTGCCTGAAGGATGTATTTGGCTGCAGAATGTTGCTTTATAACCTCGTGCTGGATTGATGCTTGCTCCCACTGAATGCGATGTACCACATTTTTTTCCAGAGATATAAAAGTATTTAATGAAAATGAAATTTGTCCTCCTGATGCTTTTAGTGATTATTGAAATATTTTTTTAATCCTAATTTCGGGATGGTGTGTCCCATCTGAGTTCTTTTAGGTATGTTCTGTGAGAGGTTTTGAAAGAACTTAAGACAGTGGCATTCGAGATCTGTCTGCTGGTGTAGGCTTTGATTAAATGTTTTGATATGAAATAGGCTGCATAAACATTTATTAACAAATGGTGGTGTGTGCTGTAGTCTTACATACATTTTCCCTTACGCTTGCTGTAAGTCAAAGAAGATTGCACAGGTGTTACGGGTTGCTGTCACTGTGCTTCTCTTCTCCATGCTTGCTTTCTGGGCCTTGAAAGTGCATATTTCTCAGACCCACAGCTGTCCCTTTTCAGCTATTATTCAGTTACCATTAACTCATTGGAACTATGGCCATTTTCTGTGCTGTCAGTAATGACTCTGCTGCAAATGCAGCTGTTTCAGTAGTACCTGTACTTTCAGGAAGCTCTCAGGCACTGTATTAGATGTTCTTTGCAGGGTGGTAAATTCACTTGTTTGTTGTTACCTGTTGGTTCTAGAGGTTTAGGGCATAAAGAACTCGGGAATCTTCAGCTTGACTGTATTTCTGTAATGAAGAATGTTAACTTTATTTCTTCTCTTATTTTGTACAACCTTTAAGTAATTCAGAAGCATTTGAATATTGACAAGGTGCAACTGGCACGAACTGAAGCGTAGGAAGTTCCGTCTGAACATGAGGAAGAACTTCTTCCCTCTGAGGGTGACGGAGCCCTGGAACAGGCTGCCCAGGGAGGTTGTGGAGTCTCCTTCTCTGGAGATATTCAAGACCTTTGGCCTGTGCGGCTGTCTGTAGGTGACCCTGCTTCGGCAGGGGTGTTGGACTGGATGACCCACAGAGGTCCCTTCCAACCCCTACCATTCTGTGAGTGGAAACTCAGTAACAACAAGAATTTTCTTCAGCTTTTTAGTCCTCTTACTGAAAGTTAGATGTTGCGATTGCAATCTGACTTAATTCTGGCAGGTCACATTTACCAAACAGTAGCATCAAGCTGTGATGGTGTTGATCTTCTTTGAAAGACTGATAGGCTGAATGGTAAGTCTCGTCTGTTCCCGTTCACACTGAGATCATTTGGCTTCAGTTTCAGCTGGGGAAGAATTAGTGGTGGAGTCTGACCTGTAGTCCGTCACCTCTGCCTCTCAGCGCTGGTGACAGTCAAGGTTTTTTTCAAAGACAACACTACATGTCGCATAAGTGCAAGCAGCACAGGTGTTCAGTGCACAGGCTGTATAATAGTGTGTAAGTTTAACCTTTCTGAGGGTGACAGAAGTCATGTCACTGATTTCTTCTTTTTTACTATTTTTCAGAAATTGAAAAATTTCAGGGTTCTGAAGGCAAGAAGGACGATGAAGACAAGAAATATCTCGATGTTATCAGCAACAAAAACATAAAGCTATCAGAAAGAGTTCTGATCCCTGTCAAACAATATCCAAAGGTACTGTAAATATAGTCTAACACTTGTTTAATCTTTCTTAACAGAATGATGAAAAAGTCATACGCTTAATCATTTTTTATTGACTCTTGGTATGCAGGCTTCATGATATTAAAAAAATCAGCTAAGAATGAAACTTCTGTTTGAATTTGCTGCTTATTGGCTATTATACGTTCTAAGTTCTGTCTTGGGGCCTTTCAGAAAAGCTATTGATGTGAGTGAGAGCTTCTTTTTTACTTGAAGTATGTTTTGTAGCTGGTCCTTAGGCAAACTCTTGAGGTGTTTTCTTACAGTTTTGCTTTTCACATGTACCATCTTTTTAGAAAGTAAAAGATGAATTAACAAAATATTGTAGCAGAATAAAGAAATAATGTTTAAATAACTCTGAAAGGACAACTTAAGTGTGCTGTAGCTTCTTCATGTTGGAGTTGCAGGATTTTCTCTGGCGTAGTAAGTTTTAAAGGATAAAGTAGCAGGATTACTGCAGTCTGTGACTTTGAGAATGTGTGTCCCTGTTTGTAAAATTCATGTGTTTTTTTTGCCACATACTTTCTTCATAGTATGTTTTGTTATCCTCAGTGCTATATACTATGATTAAAAAAAGCACTTTCTTCTTGCAAAAGAGCCCCAAATTCAGCTACTTGTGTGAAGTTTCAGGTTTTATTTTGCATGAGAGAAGAAAATGGTGATTTCTTTTGTGTATGTCTGTACAGTGTTGTGTTTTACATAAACAGTTGTTCTAATAGCATTCACACTGAAATGGTAAACATCTCCATTTATCTCTAGAGTATTTTTTCTTGCTGATTTATTATCACATGGTATTTGGTTCACCGTTAGCCTTGATTACACTCTCAGCTTTTGCTTTATACTTTCATCAGTAAGAGCAATAAATTACAATGGGTAAAAAGCCTATCAAACAAAATGAAAGGTGTAAAAAATTGCAATTCAATGATTCCAGCTGACATTTACCTCCTGACTGGTGAATATAAAACTGAGGTAATGTAATCATCCAAATAGTAAAGACCTTAGAAATGCACACAGTGCTATAGGGAATTATTTTCTTGCGGCATAGCCTGAGGTGCTTTAGCTAAATTAGTGCTATTTTGTGTAAATGCTGTAGGTCACCTGAAGTTCTTAATAATAATGTAATAGTGCTGCAACTTTATCACGCAATGTGATAATTATTCAGCATACTATTTGATGAAGATAGTAGAATGAAAGGCAAACTGTTTGAAAGACAAATGCAATAGTCTAACCGGTATAGTGTCTGAATATGATTAAATTAACCTTCATTTACTTTAATGAGCTTGTTATATTAATGAGTAGTAAAAGATATAAAGCATTTCTGCAGGTTTTGAGCAGTGAAACAAAAAAAAAAAAATCAGTGCAGTGGAAATGAAATACTTATTCAGTAATGCAAAATAAGCTTTTGGAAAATTTCTTTAGTTGATTTGCTAGCAATAATCCATGCTCGACGTGGAATAATTTCCAGAACTGCAGGTTTCCTGCTACCATCTAGTAATCATCCTTCAAGGATTGCATTTGCCATTTGTATTAAACTGCTGATTGCTGTGGTTTAGTGTCTTATCTTTTCTTGATGAATTGTATACATTAGGATAGACAAAATCAGTACACAGTGGTTGCTTTAGATTGCTTTATAAATAACAAAAAAAGTAGAAATTGGGTTAAAAAAAAGTTGTGAGTTTATATATTTAACAGAATACGGTAATAAGAGCAGTTGACCACACCTGCACTTATTAACAGTTGAGAGAATCGCTGTGTGATTTCACCTGAGAGGCGTTATATTTGAAAGATCAGTGTTTTAAATTACTCATTTGTTCTTTGCTGCTAAGTTTTTTTTGGTTTTTTTTTTTTTGAGCAGTGCTGGGTGAGCAGGGTTCTGTAAATCTGAAGAAAGTGTCCAAGAGTATAAAATTTTTGAAAAAAATTCTGACCAGTTAAAAAAAAAATGAAAAATTCATGTGGTTTACAGACTCTCTATTTAGGAATGAGATCAGTCCCTTGAAGACATTTGCTCGTATTTTAACTGCATGTAAAAATATAAATCTCTCCAAGGGAACCCTTGGCCTAAAGGTTTATTATGGTCTGTAGGTTAAGCTGCAGCGAGGGTAGATCCCTCCAGTGACAGCTGTAGAGTCAGAAGAAGCATTTTAAGGCCTGAGCAAATGTTAACATGAAAGGCTTCTAGTGGCTAAACAGCTCTTGAAGTTGCAGAAAAAGTATTATACAATTGTCTGTACTCAAGTGTCTACTGTCTGATTTCTGCAATTGCTGGTGCAGACAATAGGAAAATAAAGGCTGTGGTTAGCAACAGGGGTCTTATGTTACCAGCTCTGTTAAAAATAGGGGCCTATCTCTTCTGTAAAATAGGGATTTAAAAAAGAGATAAGGAGTTACTTGATAGTTCAGCAATGCTCTTTACTGAGATTAATTATTTTAAATCTCAGCAGCCCAAGTAAAATCAGCATCTCGTTTACACATACTTCTCTATGCAGCAGATATTTTTAATGTCTTCAAAATTTCTTCTGAAACGGTGATGCAGTGTCTTGTGTTCATCGATGCTTTTTCCTGTCCTGTAGTGCCATTTTTTTTACTTTTCATGATATGTGAATTCCAGCTAAGGCAGACTAATAAAAGTAGTCAGAAAACTATTTGTTACTGACTTTTCCATTTTTCAGCTTTAAAACTTGCATGAAAATACCTAGGGTTTGTTCATAAAGATTTCACCATTTATTAGTTGGATGTTGTATTTCAAATACATCAAGTAAGGGAAAAGAGTGGATTATTTAAATAAAAAAAAGAAAAGAAGGAAAAAAAGAAGGAAACAGAAGTCTGAAATGATCTTGTTCCTAGAAAACAAAAACTATGATTTAGAGGCTTGACGGGCAACTTTGTCATTCGCATGGCAATACATAGCGCTCTGAATCTGAGTTAGTGTATGGGCTTCGCATCAAAATACCCAAACAAGTGTGACTTATGCCTTTACTGTCATGAAATTTTTTCTAGAAAACCTTTGATTTTCAGTAAGCATTTTCTCTTCATATGAATTATCAGAAGGAGTTACTTTGATATGAGTTACTACTTCATCAACTCCCAAAACCACTACTATATGGGCAAGGTGAAGGAACCCAAGTCAGTTCAAGTATATAGATTTAATGATTTTTCTTTTTCCTAGTTGTTCTTTTTGGAAATGAAGTTCTTATTTGATTATATCTGGCTTTGGGTATTTCTTTTCCTTCTGATCTATCAACAGGTAAAGTGGTCTCAGTTTAATGGAATTGAAATAACATGGACAAATTTAGAGCAAAAATGGCAAGTTTTTTCACTGTATGACGGTTCACATTCAAGATTAAGAGTTTCCAGTTTTATGAAAATGTCAGTTACATTGAAATTGCACATTCTGGGAAAAAAACAAACAACAGTTAAGGAAGGAAGAAATTTTCCAAGTTACTTAGTTACTGCAGATTGGGATGTGCAGTGAAGTTGGAGGTGATGACACCTGGAAATAATGAACTCTCCTTTTTTCAGGGAGGGACAGAAATCAGTACAGTGTCTTCTGAACAAAAGACTGTGTTTAATAATTTTCTAATGATATGATGATTGAATAAAGAAAGATTTTCATATAAACCAGAAAGGACAGGATATTTATTATATAAATATAATTATGTAAGTGTAATTAAATTACATTAATTACAATTTGCTCTGATGCTAGAGTGAATCATAAAGTTGGAAAGTTTTAAAACAAAATCTCAGTTTAATTACAGAATTATATTTTGATTTTTCTCTCTACTGGTTTGTTAGATAATGAAAACTCTCAAAATATATGTCCTGCTAACTACCAGGATCTGGTAGGAATGACAAAGATGACAAGCAGGTTGATTCTTCTGAATGACTTCCATGATGTAGAGCTGTAAACTGCTAGGCACTGTCTTCAGAGGGTGCAGTGTTATAAAGCCTCTTCCCTGCACAATGATTCAGCTGATGGACAATAATGGTCTCGTTGAGAAGCGTGGTCTGGCTTCAGCTGAGCTTCCTAACTCCTGCTGACTACCTCCTGGAGGTTTTACTACCATTTTTTTGGGAAAAAATACCACAATATAATCCAACCCTCTCCCTTTGAAAGGCTGGCAGCCTGCTTTAGAGTCTGTGTTTCTGGGGAGGAGACTTCAGCTAATGCTGACGAATACTGTAAAGTAAGTTAAATTCCAGATTTGTGGTACTTTTTGTTTTGCCTGTCTGATGACAGTTGCTTGAATGCCAAATGACTCAGCTGAATTCACCTGTCTGAGTCATTTTTTTTAAACTGGTTATGTTGTATGTAACATGTCAGGTTGGAGATGCTGCTCTTGAAATACATTTGTTCAACTAAAATCTTATAAGGCATTTTAATCTCTGTGATGTATTAAAACAGAATTCACAGTCACAGAACAACAAAGCATTATATTTCTTTTGTATATGCTATACCTTAGAGTGAATCTCTCCACTAAAAATCTTAAAAGGCATTTGAAACAATTTTTGGGTGAAATAACAATTTGCAGGAGAACTGTTTTTGTACTTTTCGTCTTTCTAATAAATTTAACAGTAGTCAATGGGCTTATTTCATTTGTTTTAAATAGGCCCCTATGGAATTACAAGTAATTCCAATGAGCTTGAACACACAGGATTGTATTAATGAAAGTCCTGTCCAGGTCCCAGCAGTAAGGCAGATGCTGGCACTTGATCAGTCATTTCTCAGTTCTATCAAGTACGTGATTCATTAAATAGATAAAGTTCATTGGTGCTCAGTAACTTGAAACACTCCTTTTTCACACGTATATAAAATGTATCATTCCCTTATATACGTTGCTATGTAGATCAGATTAGAAGTAAGTGAGAGGCTGTCTATATTAGTATAGCAGAAATTTCTCAGGACAAGAAGATATATATCAACTGATCTGAGATTTGTTTCTGAAATTTCCCCCATTAACTATTATTCTAGTTAA